CCCCAAAACCCCAAAACCCCAAAACCCCTTGAGATTTTTGTATCCACAAATTAGTGAATAAGTTATAGGTTATAATTTACATTTCATTTAATAATCGATCAATAAATCAATGGAAAAGATAGAAAAATTACTGCCAAAAGATATTTATTGGAGAAGAGCAGTTGCTGTGCCTGTTGTGTTACTCGGGGCTCATTTAATCAATCAAACTAGCAAATATTTTTATTGGCATTATAGAAACAGATAGCTCTAAGCCTCTGTTAAGACAATAGTTGACTAAAAAAATAACTCAAGATTTGAGTTTATCAAGGTTGAAAATGAGAATGAGTTAATTGAGCTTGACGTCACATAATTAAGAGAAAAATTACTTAAAGGTGAAATTACCAGCGTGTAATTAGTCCATATGTTTGCAAATCGATGTTATACAATTGCAAGAAGACTTAATCTTAGTGCTGAGGAGTGTTTTGATGAGGCAATTGAAGAAGCAAGATAAAGAGATCATGAAAGATAGGAAGCTTAGAAGCATGGCACTGCGCATTAACTTCCAATCCTTCATGGTATTCCTATTGATATCAAGGATATGTTCTAGTAAAAAGGTAAGAGAGTAACTATTGCTTGTCAATTCATGACTGATAAAATATATGATGAAGATGGTATAATTGTCCAATTACTAAGATAATAAGGTGCAATCATTGTTGTAAGAGGTAATACTCCCCAGGCTGCCTCATTCTATCATACTGATAATAGAGTCTGGGGTCTCGCTAAGAATCCATATGATGAATCAAGATCCGTCGGAGGTTCATCTGGAGGAGATGCTGGCTTGATAGCAGCTAGATGTGCACCATTGGCATTTGGAACTGATCTAGGAGGAAGTCTGAGAGTGCCAGCACACTTCAATGGAGTAGCTTGTCTAAAGCCAACTTGCTGGAGAGTTCCAAGCCAAGGTTATATTAGTTGCTTTAAAGACAATTTTTCAAACTTTACTCAAATCACTCCTTGTATTGGCCCAATAGGCAAAACAGTCAATGATATTATTGTTGGTTTCAAGGCTCTAATTGGTCCAGAAATTAGCAAGATTGATTACTTTACTCCACCAACTACTTTTAGACAAGAAAATTTTGAAAGAGCTCTTAATGGAAAAGTCAAAGTTGGGTATTGCTTTAGTTTATCTACTGTTGAAGCGACTTTATCAATGTAAAGAGGAATTAGAATAGCTAAAAAAGCTTTAGAAGAGAAGGGCTTTGAGCTAGTACCATTCGTTTTCACTGCTGAAGAATTAAAAGATGCTCATGAAATCTCTCTAGGACTTCTCTACCATTCATTAATTGTTAATAACTATAATAGAATGATTGAAAATTATGAACAGCCTCTTTAAAACTTAACAGATGGTCACAACTTTTGGAAGATGAATTCTTTTTTCAAATTTATTCTCTTGAAAATATTTGAAATCAATGGTGAAAAGAGATTAGCAGACAAATTTAGACCATTAAGACGACTTAATAGTGCCTAATTGGATCAGCTTTTGATAAGATAGAGAGCATTCTTCGACCATATGTAAAATAAATGGAACTCTCTAGGTATTGAAGCTTTAATAATGCCTACATACCCTACTGTTTCTTTCAAGCATGAAAATCATGATGCAGTCGGTGGTTTTGGTGAGTATATGAGTGCATTCACTATCACTTTATATCCTTCAGGTATTGTTCCAGTGACAGAGGTTTAAGAAGGAGAGGATGAGACCTATGATGATAATGTAAATGATTCAATTACCAAGAATATGAGAAAAGATATTAAAGGATCAAAAGGAATGCCAGTAACTGTAAAAGTTGTTGGACAACTGTGGGAGGATGAAACGGTACTTGGTGTGATGAAAGCTATTGAAGATTCACTTAATTTCAAGATTAAACCAAAAAATCTTTGAGGAATATTTCATCGCCTTTGACCTTAGAATGAATTTCAAACAATTCACTTAAACAATTATTTTAAACACTTTAAATAACCCTTTTAGATTTATGATTATCTGATAATCTTTATAAAATGATGTCCGGGGTTTTGGGGTTTTGGGGTTTTGGGG